CCTGCCCCCCCCCACACCTGCCTGGCCCGCACCTGCCTCCCCCACACCTGCCTGGCCCGCACCTGCCAGGACAGCTGGACGCAGAGGGGGGACCACCACCACCAGAGATAAAACATGTTCAGGTTTACCAGGCGTTTTAGGAAGATTTCCAACAGCCCGATCCTCAAAGTGAGTTCCCGGGAACCCCGTGAATTACCCGGTTCCCGGCGATTCGGATTCAATGCCGTTCACCCTCCCCTCGCACCCCGGGAAAACTGAGGAATGGGAGGTTTTCATAATCCGTTTGAGGTCACAGCAGGTGTAATTGGTAAAACTTAAACGATAAAACTCAAGTCCTCTCCCTGTGCCCACAATTACATACAGGGGGACCCTTTTCTCATGATCCAACTCAGAAAGCCCAGCTTTTTAAATGGACCCCTGGTGAAGCGACCCCTCCACAAAAGAAGTCTTCACTTTACAATAAAGTGAGTGTGTGTTCCCACGAGGCATTTAAACACAGGAGTTGGATGTTAAACAATACGGGCTCTTCTCAGCTGCACGTGGCCGTGAACAGATTCCGTGTCTCAGGGCCACTTTCACAGTGAAACCTGTTCACCCGTCTTGTCTCTCCTCCAGGTCTGAATTGTTTAGAGAAGCAGAGAAAACACCCCTATTCCATAGCGGGGAGGGAGGCGGGACTCAGCTGTGGCAGGAAGCGGCCGCCGGGTGTGTGACTATTTTGATCCTAAAAGATCGGAGGAGGATCACCACCTGTCCCTCTGGGATCTGAGATAACGGTTGCACTGACGTTCTCATTAATCCGTCTCGTTCCTCCGCCCTTTTCCCATGAGCCCCGTCCTCCGAAATGTGGAGTGTGAGGAACCACAGCCCTGCCCCTGCAGGAGTCCATGGGCACTGAGGCTAGTGTTTGCCTCCTCTCTTCCTCCTGCCGCTCTCCAGCGAGCTGGCGATGATGGTGATTTAAACAGAAAAGCTTTTGTGCACCGGGTTCGCCCACCGCACTGGCCAGGTTCCACCTTCCAGCGGCCAGGATGGGGCGGGGGGCCGCCTGGGCCCTTTAAGACAGCCGGACACGCAGGCAGGCGCAGTGCAGGGCGTGGGGCGTGGGGCGTGGGGCGTGGGGCGTGGACTCCGGGCCACGGGCGCCCATTCTCAGGGCCGAGAGGAACACTGGACCATATGGCTCTGACTTCACCTGCCACCGGCCTGTCCTCCAGGCTCCCTGTCAGCCCATCCTGCGCTCTCTCCTGCCCTGTCCCGGGGCCGGGGGATATGTGATGGGACCCTGTCCCGGTGGGAGGCGCTGCGACCTGTGACCCAGGCGGCCTGAGGGGACCAGGGCGTACCTTCTCTTGTTCTCATGCTCGCTCTCCTCCTCCTCGGAGCTCACCCTCTTGGCGCAGAGCCTGCAGACCGTGCCGCCCTGTGACAGCAGCTTCTGGCTGGCAGCTCGCTGGGAAGACGACTTCTCGCTGAGAGACTGCTGGGAGGACGACTGGGAGGACGACCGGGAGGACGAGCGCCTTGATGAGCGCGAGAAAGTGGGGGTGTTAGAAAACTGTCCCTTCTATACACACATGCGCACACAATGCACGCACACCTGTACACACAGTGCACACACATGCAGGATCATGCGTGTGCATGCTTACCGATACATTACCTTTGTGCATGAAGTTATGCAAATGTGTGCGCATGTGTGCATTCTCACGTGTGTACGTGCATGCACCCTTGCAGGTGCACGCAAACACGCGCACACAGGCCTACACAGTGAGTGCATGTACACATGTCCACACACATCCACATGTGCACATACAAGCGCACATACACATATGCACGCAAGCACACCTACCTCCCTCTGCACCCGGCTCCCCGCACTCAGAGGGACACTGTCACACGGAGCTCCTCCCCCACCCCCTGCCCTGTGTCAGCCTGTGCCCACAGCTCTGGCCCCGCACCAGGAGTATATATATCCGAAGGCATCTGAGGCTCCCGCGGCGGTTGGGAGGGGCTGGGAGTGTTTGCCTTTGTTTGTTATGGGGATGGCAACTGGACCCAAGGACCCCAGGCATTTCTAAATATAGGGTGCTGGTGACACGCAGGAACCCAAGGCTGAGCCCGCCGGCTGGCCGGCAGCTCTCCTCCCGGCCCAACCTTCCCATCGGTGCCCTGGAGCTGCCGATGTGCTGTCCATGGGCGGGAGCTGCAGGCCCCTGAGGATGCCGGACTTCAGAAACTCCCAGAGGACTTTGGGGCTTGAGCCCCGCCTGTGACTCAGAGTCACTTCACTCCTTGTACATTTACTATTCATGCAGCAGGTTTCCACCCATCGTTCCTCTGCCATCCCATAATTTCTCTGCCACTGGCAGCTTTCCCTCCCATCGTCTTCCCTCCCATTGCCCTTGTTTTTTGGTGGCTTTTTAAATTCCTCTTCTGGAAGATGCGTGAAGAAGGATAAAGTCAATGAGCACTTCCTAAAAGCCCCCACCCCTCCTGACATAACCCGGGGTCAGAGTCAGTACACCAGGCTCCACCAGGGTCCACCAGGATCTACCAGGGCCTACCAGGATCTACCAGGGTCTATCAGGGTCTACCAGGACCTACCAGGATCTAGCAGGATGCTCCACCAGGATCCACCAGAATCTACCAGGGTCCACCAGGATCTACTAGGGTCCATCAGGGTCCACCAGGGTCTACCAGGAGCTACCAAGCTCTACAAGGATCTACTAGGATCTATCGGGATCCACCAGGGTCTACCAGGATCCACCAGGGTCTACCAGGACCTACCAGGATCTAGCAGGAACTAGCAGGTCTAGCAAATTCTACCAGGGTCTACCCGGATGCCATGTAGCATTCCACACATAGTTCCCTGAGCAGCCGATCAGCCACATTCGCCTCTGGCATTGAAGAAGGGAATCCGGGATCACTGCCACCCCTGACCCTCCCCAATCACATCACTCCAGGCTCCAGGGGACCAGGTAAAGCTCCCTGCCTCTGATGTGGGACGCCCGTCGTCGAAGTTCTGTGCGTCTAAGGCAGGGATGGGGAACGCCCAGCCCGAGGGCCATCTGAGGCCTGCAAAGTCCTTTTGCCTGGCCCTGCCAAGGCATGAGGGGCGAGTTTATTCAATGTTTGACCGAAGAGAGCAGGTAATTTTCAAGTGGATAGTTTTGTATGGCCCGTGGGTGATGTTGTAAATGCCCCAATGGCCCTTGACAGAAAAAAAGGTTCCCACCCCTGGTCTAATCAGTGAATTCCAACTTACGTTTTTGCTGCATATTCGTTCATAAGGTATCTTGTCTGAATATTGCGATACGACTGGTCGAAGTGCTTGTGTCTCCTTTGGTAAAAAGGCATGGTGACAAGCGACATCTTGGAGTTCACCTGCAAGTAAAGAGTAACGAGCAGCATGAGGCCCTGTCTGAACTAGCCCTGCCATGTCCACCAAACCCTCTACCAAGCCTGTGGCAAAGGGGACAATCAAGTCCAGTTAGCCAAACCCACGGGCGGTGAGTGGCGGACTGTACACGCGTGAATAATCCCCGAGTGGCCGTCCAGATACCGAGTGAGGCCCCAGGACCCGATTTCATTCTTTGTCTGCTGCCTACAATTCGAACATTGGGCCCTCGCCAGTCTGGATCAGTGGATAGAGCATCAGCCTGCAGACCAAAGGGTCCCAGTTCAATTCCAGTCAAGGGCACATACCTTGGTCCCCCGGCCCGGGCCCTAGTCAGGTCTCGTGCGGGAGACAACCAATCAATGTGCTTCTCTCACATTGATGTTTCTCTGTCTTTCCCTCCCTCTTCCTTCTCCCTAAAAATCAATGGAAAACTATCCTCAGGTGAGGACTAAACGAAAAAGAACACTGGGCTACGTATTTCATTTTTTTGTTTGGTTTGTTTTTAATCCTCACCCAGGGATATTCTTCCATTGTTTTTTAGAGAGAGTGGAAGAGCGAGGGAAAGACAGAGAGAAAGATCTATTTGAGAGAAATACATGGATTGGTTGCCTCCTGCACGTGCCCCAACCAGGGCCGGAGCCAGGGAGAAGCCTGCAACAAAAGTATGTGCCCTTGACCGGAATCAAACCCGGGAGCCTTCGGTCCGTAGGCCGATGCTCTATCCACTGAGCCAAACCAGCTAGGGCTGGTATTGCATGTTTTAAAAATTCTTGTGGCACACCATTTGAAAATCGCTGAGTTAAAGGCACAAAAGCAAGAGGGCACCTGTCAGGACCCAATACTCCAGTGCTCAGATAACAATCAGTCCTTCACGGTGCTGGATTAGGGACTTGAGTTCACGTTGTACATGACTCTGCCCACCTTGGACCAGCACCTAAGTCTAGCTGTAGGGTGAGGGCCTCCCTAAGTGTGTACTTCTCTTACCTATGGTCTTTGTAGATTTATCCCTAGAAAATTTAACAGAAGGCCTTCATCCTAGGATTAACCAAACCTTTAAAAGGGCAAGCATGTGCTCCTAATGATGTTTTCTTCGAAGTGTATCTTAACCTTACTTCTACAAAGACACCTTCTTCCCAAATCATCCTGAAAATTCTAGAAATTTTAAGGTTTCTTGTAGACAGTATTGAGTAAAACTGACATTCACATCAGAATGTATCTTGTCAATGGAAGAAACCCTTTCCCCATAATATAGGAATGATGGGTTTTATTTGTATTATACTTATACTTTCCTAGAAGTTTTCATTTCATTACCTCAATCTTTCCCACAAATGGTGTGAGGTTGGTACCATCCTCCCCATTTTACAGATATATAACCATTTCTCTTTCCCAGTGATTCACAGTTTATGGAAACAAATAGAAATGTGAAGTTGGAAAATCTCCTGTACCTGCCACTTCATTTATTTGTTCAACAAGTATTTACTAAACGCAACTGTGTGTTAGGTACTATTCTAGATACTGAAGTTATCGAAGTGAAAACTCATGAGTCTTACCTCTCCTTATGAGGTTACTACCAAGGAAAAGGAGACAAATATTAAATAAATGCAATAAAATGTAGTCTTGCTGATGGAACCCAAAAGGAGGAGAAGTGAGTTCCATATGTGGAATATGGAGGAGAAAGCTTCCTACAGGAAAGGATTCCATCTGTTTTGAAAGTTGAATAGTGATGATGGAATGGGAGAGGACATTTCAGGAAGAGAAAGCACAAAAGTCAAATAATAAAAATAAATAATAAAGTAATAAAAATAAAATATACAAAGCACCTCTGATATACAATACCTCATAAAGGTAAAACAAGTATTCATTTATTAATCGACAAATACTTATGTCATCCTTAATATATGCCAGAGCCCATACTAGGTGCTGAGAATGGAAAAGTGAACAAGGCAAATTTTTCTGCCCTCAAGCTTTAAAGAAGTAAGATATAAAGGATATAATTTCACAGAGTGATACATGTGATGAAGAACACAAACCAGAATAAGGGGGTAAGTGGTGGTGGTATCTCTGAAGATGTAGCATGAAAACAGAGACCTGTGTGAAGACAGCACGTTCAGAGAGCTGAGAAAAGGGCATTCCCAGCAGGAGTGTCAAGTGCAAAGGCCCTGAGGCAGAAATTAATTTGGTGAAATTAATTTTAACTTTTTAATTTGAAAAAAATTCGTCTGTCTAGCTTTGTGAAGGATATACTAGAGCAGTGGTTCTCAACCTTCTGGCCCTTTAAGTATAGTTCCTCATGTTATGACCCAACCATAAAATTATTTTCGTTGCTACTTCATAACTGTAATGTTGCTACTGTTATGAATCGTAATGTAAATATCTGATATGCAGGATGGTCTTAAGCGACCCCTGTGAAAGGGTCGTTTGACCGCCAAAGGGGTCGCGACCCACAGGTTGAGAACCATTGTGCTAAGTGAAGAAAGGCAGACACAGAAAGACAGATGGCACACCACCTCACATGTGGAATCTAAACCAGCAGAAGTCAGTCATGCAAGCAGAGAGGAGGAAGGGGAGGGGGCAACAGGGAGGTGGGTCACGGGTCCAAAGTTTCAGTTATGCAGGATGACAAGTTCTGAGGACCTACTGTGCGGCAGCGGGACCGGTTAACTCTGCCAGACTATACACTCGCCAAGTAGAGTTGCTCAGAGTTGAGTTTGTTTTCTCACCACACCCACGTTCACAGGCTCACACACATGCACAGACACACACATGTTCATACGCACTTTAACTCTGGAGGGGATGGACCTCTTGCTTAGCTTGATTGTGGTGATCAGTTCACAATGTATTCAGATATCCAATCCCCACGTTGTACACCTTAGACGTGTACAATTTTTCTTTGTCAATGACATCTCGGTAAAGATTTAACAACCCAGCTCACTGACCCTTGAAGCAACCAGAGGTGAGTGGGGTGGGAAGGGGAGGTGGACAAGTGGTCCTGGTGTCCTTTCCAGCCCCCTTGCTCCCGCCCGGGCCTGGACTCTATCTGGGGCCTCGTGCAGCCTTGTGTGGAGCCAGTTCTAGGCGAACAGCCTGGAATGAATGAGCTGAGGGAGGAGCGGCCCAGCCCAGCTAAGCAAGCTCCCCACGCACTCCCAGCATGAAAGAAACCAAGGCCGCAGAATGACTAAAAAAAGAAGAAAAGATATTGGCAGGTTTTTTTTTCTTTCTTTCTTTTTTGTCCATTTGGCAATTTGCTTAAAACCCAAGACGCCAGTGTTTGCCCCCAGGGAAGTGGGTGGTGGACGCGGGGGAGAGGCGTGCTTTTTGCAGAACTGCCCATTATCTTAGAATGATGCAACCCAGTGTGATCGCTTAACAGGGGCCCAGCAGCTCTCGGCCTCAGTCTGCTTTGCCGAGAAATGGGGCTCCTAGCCTTCAGCTCCCGGGGGTTTGGGCCTGTGACCCCCACTAGGCCACACACCCCCGCGAGCACTGACCACCCCAACGCCAGGAGTGGGCCCGGCGGCCCGAAGCACAGGCCGGGCTTCTCAGCCGACTGTACCAGGGTCACACGCTGTCGCATGACTGACCTCGGCCTGTCCGGGTTCGACTCT